TTTCCCTTGAATTTACATAATTGATAATTGCATATCCTTATATGTGTTTGAATCTGAGATTAACTGAGAGGAAAAAAAGGTGAAATTTTGTTTCCCATGTGACACCTTTATTTCCTTTTTAAGTTTTCAAAAAAAATTTTTAAATATTTTTGTCTTCTTTTGAGAAGTGTCTGTTTATATCCTTAACCCACTTTTTGAGGAAGACATTTATGCAGCCAATGGACAGGAAAAAATGCTCATCATCACTGACCATCAGAGAAATGCAAATCAAAACAACAATGAGATACCATCTCACACCTATTAGAATGGCGATCATTAAAAAGTCAGGAAACAACAGGTGCTGGAGAGGATGTGGAGAAATAGGAACACTTTTACACTGTTGGTGGGACCGTAAACTAGTTCAACCATTGTGGAAGACAGTGTGGCGATTCCTCAAGGATCTAGAACTAGAAATACCATTTGACCCAGCTATCCCATTACTGGGTATATACCCAAAGGATTATAAATCATGCTGCTATAAAGACACATGCACATGTATGTTTATTGTGGCACTATTCACAATAAAAAAGACTTGGAACCAACCCAAATGTCCATCACTGATAGACTGGATTAAGAAAACATAGCACATATACACCACGGAATACTATGCAGCCATAAAAAAGGATGAGTTCATGTCCTTTGTTGGGACATGGATGAAACTGGAAACCATCATTCTGAGCAAACTATCGCAAGGACAGAACAGCAAACACTGTATGTTCTCACTTATAGGTAGAAATTGAACAATGAGAACACTTGGACACAGGGTGGAGAACATCACATACCAGGGCCTGTTGTGGGGAAAGAGGAGGGGGGAGGGATAACATTAGGAGATATACCTAATGTAAATGAAGAGTTAATGAATGCAGCACACCAATATGGCACAAGTATACATATGTAACAAACCTGCACGTTGTGCACATGTACCCTAGAACTTAAAGTATAATAAAAAAAGAAAAAAATTATTTTTGCCTTTCATAAGTATCTATTGAGTTACTGTTAGGTGTTGGGAACACAAGACCTAAAACTCCTGACAAATATATTCTATTTAGAAAGTCAATTTGTACATTAATAAATGCATATATAATACCAGACAAGATGGTAATGCTAACCAGTTTGACTTTGAGGCACAGCACTCAGAAGGTAAATGCCCCTGGAAAAAACATTGAATGTAAATGCCCCTGGAAAAAGAATGTAGTTGGAAAAAACATTCTGAGGTAAAATTATACAATATTGGTATGAATAATTATAGTGACACCCATTTTGTCACACATTTTTGTGCTATGCCATTGGTAGAAAAAGAGTCATAGTTGAAAAAATATTGCAGTCACAAGATGTCAATGGAAATGAAGGCAAGGATATCTTTTGGTCAATTTTCTTGAAAATATTGGCTTTTTCAACAGTGCAGTTTATTGAAAATGTAGTCCCAGTTCTTAGCAATTATTTATATACTGATGGACTTATATCCAGGGTCTTCTTGCTTTAAAAAAAAGTCAAAAAATTATTTTATACATTTAAAATATTTTAAAATTGTGATACATACGATTCTTGCCCTCTCTCTGTCATATTTTTCCAATTTTTTGTCTGTCTTTTCTTTTCTTGCCTTTTCTTCCCTGTCCTTTCCCTTTCTTTTCTTTTATTTTTGTCTTCTTTGTCTGGTGTTGCCTTGAGTTTCTTTTCTTTCTTTCTTTCCTCAGGCACATTCTTAATCCAAATGAATTCATTGGAGGTGATATTTTTATGCATAATATACACAGCAAATTTCTAGGGCATCTCATTTTTTACAAATCTTTGTAAGAAAAGGCTATCTATTAACCCAATGACATTATTACAATGTTTTCTAAATTTCAATGATTCTCAGTTTCTTGCAGCTATTACATTACAAAGTATACCTCAGTAAAAATTTAGTCAGTCACAGGGTTGATGTCGTTGATTGCTCACTTGCTCAAGCCAGAAGCTTAGAATACATGCTTGGTTCTTCACTTTCCTGTGAGTTTATGTCAAATCAATTTCAAATCTATTGATCTTATCCTCTAAATAACATACAGCATGACTACTTCTCTCTCTCTCTCTCTCTCTGGTACTGTCACATTAATTCAAAAGAAAAAGACTGATGATTCCTAACATCCTGGCTTCAGTAATTGGGAATGATGACATCATTACTGAAATGAGAAAACTTAGCGATAGTAACCAATATCTGAGGAAAATCAGTCTCCAGAAATATTCTCCCTACTTCCATTTCCCATATCCCTTATTCATTTTTTTTCTCAGCAGATTCCACTGTAGTGGAAATTTGGCCAGATTTTTTCTCTTTTTAAAATTATTAAATGGATCTCCATGTGACATAGAATACAATCAAACTCTTTATCTCACCCTACAAGGCCATGTGTAATTTGTCTATTTTCACCTTTTAATTTTCTCAAATCACTAGCTCATTATGGCAAGAAAAACTGCTCTTAATTCCTCAAAATATTCCAGGCTTACACAGATTCAGGAATGGTACATACGCTTTCAAAGTCTTTTCTCCATCTTCTTTTTAGTAACCTCTTCTTCTAATTCAAGGTTCTGTTTAAATGACACCCCCTCACAGAAGTGTTCCCTATTCTACATGGATCCTCACTACTTATTTTCTGAGGCTCTTTTTGTTGTTGCTTTCCTGTGAAACACTTTTCACAACTGGAAATAATTTTATTGATGTGTGTGTTTATTTTCTCATCTATGTTCAATACAGTGCAGCCGTTTCTGCCTCCTCATAATTGTATGTTTGATGCCAACATAGTGACTAGTATGGAGAAGAAATTCAATAAATATTTTCTAATGAATGGATAAATATTTTTAACAAATTAGTGGCTATATTTTTGACAGCATACCTTAGTTACAATCTACTCCAGATTGTATCCTTCTGAAACTATTATTTTAAATACAGTTTGAAGTATTTCTGCTTTTATTATTTTTCTTGTAAGAAAGTATCTTCATAAATCACTCAACATATAGTTGTGTAAAGATGACTTCCAGTTTTGTCTTAGAAAATTATGGAGAAAAATCTATCTCATGCATCAAAATAAATAAATTTTAACTTACAATGTGAATTTTTTATGGTAATTTAAGAAACTTTTTAATGAGCTTCAACACAAGGAAAAATAATTAACTAGCTCTTTTTATCTCTTTTGGATTTTAATGTTTTCTGCAATTAACACTTTCTCCAGATGTCCAATCTCCTATCCATTCTGTACAGTTTTCTTTTTCTATTTTGTTCAAACTCATCTGTACACAAACATACATTTTAGCTACATTTCAGGGAGATGGCCCTGTGTGTGGACAATATCATATTGTTGGACCACAACCATGAATATGCTTCTGAGGATATTGCCAATTTCTTTTGCTAAGCATTACCTTGGTCTTAGTAATTTTTCTACTTATGCAGGATAAAAAGTGAAAATGCCAAGTCAACTGTACAATTAAAAGTGCTTAAGAAATAGACATTTAGATATCTAAATGTTAACTTTATTAGAAATAGATTTTTAGTCATAATAATTAGTGATCACAATCCATATGCATGCTAAAACTGAAGAACAGAAGTTAGGTAAAAGTGAAATCTGCATATCTACGACATTGTTTAAAAGTTGTAGAAGACAATTAACTTCTATTCATCCTTCTGATAATAGCTCAAATAAAACTTTTTCTGAGAAGCCTAACCTGAATCCCTTTGCTGAATTTAGTGACCCAGCTATTAGCTCTGCCTTTTCTTGTTATAATCTTTGTAACAAGTTTTTAAAATGGATAATCTTGATAGAGTATAAATCAAATATATCTACATCTTTCTCCAATCGTTGCCTTCAACCAACAACTCAAAGGTTTCTTTATTTTAAGCTCTTTGGTATTAAATTCTAATCTGACCTAAAATCATTTGTTGGTGAAAACCGATTTGATCACCTTTGAACTACTGAGAGTTTTATTCTCCAAATACACTTAGGATATAAAACAGAAATATATATATATATATATATATATAGGCATGCCAATCCAAATGTATTGAACTACTGATGCTAAGTTATACAAAATTGCACCACTTTAATTAAGGCTTTTAGTTTACATTTGGCCACCTCAAAGTAGTTGTAACATTAGGTTGGTCAGTATAAATACTCCCTGTTGGATAGACACACAATCTTTACATCCAAACATTAATGCATACAAAGCAACAAGGCATGGTTAAATAAAACAGCAACTGTTACTGCAAATTAGGCCTTGTGACCAATTACATTTGATTAAAATTACTTCCCACATTCACATCCACAGTACTCGTCCACCATTTAACATCTCCACCAAAATGTTACACATGAGAAACGATCACTAACAGGCAAAAATACTAAACCTGTATATTTGGTACTGCAAATACACTTATGCATGAGCAAGCAAGGGATTCACAATGAGAATCTACAGCTGCAGAAGCCTGAAAATGATTTACAAAAATTGTTAAATCATTAAAAAATTGTTTGAAAATATACACTTCTTGTTGTACACCCCCACTGTACACACAACTATAAACATTTTTCCCCATGTAAACAAAAAAAAGGAAACATATAATAAGACATTTGAAAAGTCTGGACATTTCCTTCCCAACAGATATTAAAGGCAACGTCTTTAAGACATTATACTGAAAGGACTATCATATTTTAAAGACAAGATCACTGTCTCCATAAGTTTTTTAAAAATTAAAAAAACTATATAGCTGTGTTAATCAAAGCGCTTATTTTGTACAATAATAATGACCTTGAATTTCTTTTAAAAAATTACAATAAGCTACAAGTATCAAAGAAGTGAAGTTATCTGGAGTAGTCTATATAGGAGTTCTTTGGACTTTCTTCTATTATGCTAAAAATAGTGGTGCTTTTAGGATTTACATTATTGTACTCCACAATACAAAGTATGGGGCATGTTAAAGTATACAGTACACTATTTTCATACATGTACAACATTGGTGGATGAAAAATGCCTCTTAGCAGTAGTACTGGATGTAGCCTCTGGTTTTACCAGCTGCATACTCTAGGACTATTATATAAGTAAAAATCTCTCTTGTGATACTGGAAAGTGATTAGAATGTGCAAACTGATATAGTAGCTTTCATCTGCCTCTAAAAGGGTACCACCACAAGAAAGTCCATTTAAGATGTTGGTAGGTTTAACAAAGTTGGAATGCTGGCACTGTTGAATTGGGCAACAGTTCTTCAGACCTGGCTCAGAGCTACAATGCGTTTAGTATGTTAAAGCAGCTGACATGATGACTTTTTGCGAGTCTTCCCAGGCACTGGAGGTTTTCTGTTAATTTGCTGCACTAGGTCATAAAAGATCTCATTAACATTTATTTTTGATTTTGCAGAAGATTCTAAGAATGCACAGTTGTTCCATTGTCTTGCTAGATTTTGACCTTGTTCCTTCCCTACAACTCTTTCATCTTCCAAGTCACACTTATTACCAACAAGAATCATTGGAACATCATCAGTGTCTTTAACTCGAAGAATCTGTTCTCTCTCAGGTCTTGTAAATCGTTAAATGTGGACTGTGCTGTGACGGAATAAATTAATGCAAATCCTTGTCCATTTTTCATGTACAAATCCCTCATTGCTGTAAATTGTTCCCTTCCTGCAGTATCCAAGATTTCAAGCATACACTGTTGTGCATCTGCTTCAACTTGCTTTCTATAAGAATCTTCTATCGTAGGATCATATTTTTCTACACAAATTCCTTGAACAAATTGTACAGTCAAAGCAGACTTTCCAACGCCTCCTGAGGCAAGAACGACTAGCTTATGCTCACGCATGATGCAAGCTTGTCAAAACCTAGTACCTCTCACGCTGTCACCGGGCCCCCGCAGCCAGCGTTGCCCCGCGCTCCCTCGGGGTCGCTACTCTCCGCGCCACGGCGGTCCTGCCGCTGCCGCCGCCGCTCCGGCTGGTTTACACGCCTGACTCTGGGCGAGGTTTGGTGATGTCCCAGAAATACATATTTTATCATCAGTTCTATCCCAAACTCTATGAGTGTTTCTGAGTATATGATCTGTTATAAATTCCAATCTCAGGAGTTTCAGGTAACAATTGGTGGGCTTGAACAGCGCATATATGTGGAAACATTATACTCTTTATTTTTAAATATAAAAAAATACGTATTCATCTGATTTTGTTATTAAAGGTATGCTCTCTTAAAAAGCCAGGTTTCTTTACATTCCATCAATTAAATTAGAAATAACTTCCATCAAGTGGTAAGCTGGTAGAGGCCGGGGACAATTTTTTATTCTTCAACGTCTCTGTGAACATTGTCCAGTATTTGGCACAAAGTAACTGTCTGCAATATGGCTAAGTTAACAAAAAGAAGGACGGAAAGAAGGAAGCAAGGAGGGAAGGAATCAAGGAGGGAGGGAAGGAAAGAAGGAAGGAAGGAAGGAAGGAAGGAAGGAAGGGAGGGAGGGAGGAAGGAAGGAAGGAAAGAAGGGAGGAAGGGAGGGAGGAAGGAAGGGAAGAAGGGAAGGAGGGAGGGAGGGAGGAATGGTAAACAGATTTGATTCAATTTAATACATGAACTTTAGAATATGACTATATAATATACATATTAATATTACATATGAATATTACATTCATATATTCACATTGTAAAAAATTTAGACGTTGTATATTATATATATAATATGTGTGTATGTACACTGCAGTATTATTGTATCTAGAAAAGAGAATTTGAAATATGTGAGGTTGCTAAGATCTCATATAAATATGTAATCTATTAAATACCAAAATATTTTCTTTTGAATAATTTTAAAATAATGTCCTGTACTAAGATCACAGGACAACTTAACAGGAGTCTTTATTGATTTTCCTTATTTTTATAATGAAGATTTTTCAGACATAATGAAAATTTAAAATAATATTTCACACAAGATTAATATAATATCCACCTATATTTAGTAATTGCTAACATATTACCACATATTACTCATTTCACTCTCTAAATATCTCTTTAGGTAGTAGAATCATGGATATTTGAATATTTTGGCCCAAAACTTTTCAGCATGAAAGTCCAATAAATTAGGGCACTCTCCCACAGTGCCAATGTGTAAGATTTATTTTTTACTGCTGGACTGAGACAGCTCTATAATTATCTCCCAGAACATCTGAAAGTCTGGTACTGATTCTTGGCCAAAATGAGGGCAAGATTAAATACAGGCTGTTTAAAGTTTGAAACTCCTGTGGCTAGTTTGAGTATTGATGGCTTACACCTGGTATAACCAGGCATGCAGCCTGACAAAAGGTTCACCTGGAAATTTGGGAGACTTTCCTTCTAAGTCAAAATTCCTCGCAAAATCTTGATGGATTGTATTCCAGAGATGAAGTATGTCCTATCCAAACACACATACACAACACACACACACACACACACCCTTGCAACCTTGGATAGAAGCACCTAAAATGTTTGCCAGAGCCTCTGGTGCTTGCCTGCCCTTGCTTTCTTTTACTCCATCAGCCTCTGCTGCTTTAGTAAAAGCCTCGTGTGCATATGCTCTACAGAGTCTTATGAGTCTTTTCAGTATCCCAAACTGTGAAAACACTAACAATAATCATTTTAACAACTATGAAAATTAATACTAATTCCATAATATTATATAATGTCTTCTCTATATCCAGTTTTTCCTACTTGTTCACAATTCTCTCTTATATATTTCTAAAAAATAGTACCTCATCAATTGCATATTTTATATTTGGTAAGTCATCACATCATTTTATCTTTTTATCTATAACAATCTCACCACTTTTTAAACAAATATTGACTTTTTGAAGTTCAGGTCGGTTATTATTGCATAGAATGTTCTACATCCTGTATTTGTTTGATAATTTCCTGCTGGTGTGGAGTAACTTGCCATGTGTTCCTGTATTTCTTGCACACTGGATATTAGGCTTAGAGGTATAACCACCTTTAGGTTAAACATTTGTATGGAATACTTTTCAAGTGGTATATTATTTATCACACATCAGAAGGTACATGCCAAATTGTCCCATTATTTCTGATACTAAATTACATTTGTGGTTCAAGTTTTTGCACTTCTAATTTTCTTTTGTAATTATAAGTAACTGTAGGATGATGCTTTGTTGGTCATGTTATAATCTGATGCTGATTCTCTACATTTTTGAGGTCACTAGGTCTACCACCTAATTATGCCAACTAAATTAAAATTAAAATAAAATTAACTGGTTTGACAGAGTAACATTTTTAGTCAGAGCTCTTTCGATTGCCAACACTTATAACTAAAAGACCTTTAGGCTAAATGAGGTGTAACTGGAAGATACTGGAGATATCAAGATTCAAAGGGTGCTCTCTAGGAAGTGGAACAGCTCAAGGGACCTGGCACGTGGAACCAGGGATAGGACTCCACAGTGACTAAGGCTTCACTTCTCACCTCTGCTTTCATATGAGTGCGATGTTATTTTCTACATGACAGATACGTTTACTTTTCACCATTAAAAGGTAGGAAACTCACTCATAACCAAAGTTGGAGGAGACAGTTATTTTTTTCCCCCAGTTTGCCTGTTAAAACTATAAGGAATGATTAATCTGCCATGGTGCTTGATGTGGCCCAGGGATGTGCTGAGACTCAGTCATGTAGGGGCAGGTGGTATTAACATTAGTTCAAACTTGGAACCACAGCATGTGTTAGAAATAATGACTTATATTAGAAACTGGACATAAAATTGTTGTGAGCAAGAAAGTTACCTCAATTTGAGTCTACTAGAAGTTTCAGAGTACCATTTCACATGGCCACAAAGTTCAAAAGTTCAAAAAGAGACAAAAGTTTGACCAAGAAATCAGTGATTTTTTAAAAAAGGAGAAATTGAGTTCAATCATGTTTTTTATATCTTTTACTGTACTAAGAAAGTTTTTTTTCTCAATAATTGACTAAAAGTTCATTAACTACTGCACAGACTTCAATATTTAGAAATGTAATATGGACTTGCTAACTAAAAGTGAAGTTATTGTGTTGTTGGAACTAGCTATTGTTAGAAAGACTAATTTGCTTTTTATAATAAAATTTTACATATGATTGATAGATTTACAGATTATAACAATTTATAGATAATTACCTCATTAATTTATTGAATAACCTGACTAAATTACTTAGTCACTGAATTAAATACAACCCAGCCTTAATACTTTAGGTCAAGGAACATTGACCAAATATATATATATGCCACATATTCCTTGAAATTTCTTACCAAAGTAAATTGTCTCATTAAAAATACAGAAATAAATTGGTAACTAAATAAAACATGTTCTATATTTCAACTTGAAAAATTAAAGATTCATAATTCTTAAAATCAAAGCAATGATCATTTGTTTCCGAATTATTATTATTGTGAATGTACTTAAAATTTTGACTATGCTTTTGAGAAAGATGTACTTCTATTAAAAATTATTAAAATAAACAGCAGAGAGACTGACTTTTCAAAATAGTTTATCTGGGAAGAGCAAGGAACTGCAATTTGGGATATGTGTATTGTAGTGAACCATAGGCACATTTGAAAAAGCTGGGGGAGTCAAAGCTTTCTTAGGGGTAAAAGGTGAAGTTCCCCATCAGATTACCATTGACATTCTTCACAGAATTAGAAAAACCTATTTTAAATTTCATATGGTATCAAAGACGACCCCATAGAGCCAAGACAATCCTAAGCATAAAGAATAAAGCTGAAGGCATCACACTACCTGACTTCATTACTACCGGGCGTCGGTAACCAAAATAGCGTGGAACTGGTACCAAAACAGACATATAGACCAATGAAGGTGAACATAGACCTCAGAAATACACCATACATCTACAACCATCTGATCTTCGACAAACCTAACAAAAACAAGCAGTGGGGAAAGGATCTCATATTCAGGAATAGCATGGGAAATCTGGCTAACTATATGCAGAAAACTGAAACTAGACCCCTTCCTTACACCTTATACAAAAATTAACTCAAGATGGATTAAAGACTTAAATGTAAAACCCAAAACCATAAAAACCCTAGAAGAAAACCTAGGCAACAACATTCAGGACATAGGCATGGTGGGCAAAGACTTCATGACAAAAACGCCAAAGCAATTGCAACAAAAGCCAAAATTAACAAATGGGATAGAATTAAACTAAAGAGCTTCTGCACAGCAAAAGAAACTATCATCAAAGTGAACAAGCAACCTACAGAATGGGAGAAAATGTTTGCAATCTACCCATCTGAAAATGATATAATATCCAGAATTTACAAGGGACTTAAACATACTTACAAGAAAAAGACAAACAACACCATCAAAAAGCAGGCAAAGGCTATGAACAGACACTTCTCAAAAAAAGACATTTACGTGGCCAACAAATATATGAAAGAAGCTCAACATCACTGATCATCAGAAAAATGCAAATCAAAACCACAATGAGATGCCATCTCATGCCAATTAGAATGGAGACTATTAAAAAGTCAGGAAACAATAAATGCTGGAGAGGATATGGAGAAATAGGAACCCTCTTACACTGTTGGTGGGAATGTAAATTAGTTCAACCATTGTGGAAGACAGTATGGGCATTTCTCAAGGATCTAGAACCAGAAATACCATTTGACTCAGCAATCCCATTACTAGGTATATACCCAAAGGAATATAAATCACTCTACTATAAAGGAACATACATATGTATGTTTATTGCAGCACTATTTACAATAGCAAAGACATGGAACCAACCCAAATGCCCATCACTGATAGACTGGATAAAGGAAATGTGCTACACATACACCATGGAATACTATGCAGCTATAAAAAGGAATGAGATCATGCCCTTTGCAGAAACATGGATGAAACTGGAAGCCATCATCCTCAGCAAACTAACACAGGAACAGAAAACCAAACACTGCATGTTCTAACTTGTAAGTGGGAGTCGAACATTGAGA